GCAACGTGGCCAGTTAATAGATGATTATTCAGGTAGGCAGAACAAACCAAATAAAGTGGAATGAAATTTAGCCAGCTTAAAAGACCTAGTTTAAGTGTAAGTTGGTTTAACCCATCTGCGGTGAAGAATCATCAAGAATGCAACATCAGCCTCAGCATGGGGCCCTACAAGTACATATATATATATATATATATCTATGTATTTATATATTGCGCAACAGCATATGAATCGACATTGAGCCATCGGAAACCATGGAGCTCAAAAGAAGGTATAGAAACAGTAAAAGAAAACACAACACAAAACATCGAAGTCCATGATTTCGTCAGAGGGCAAGATACTACCCGGTTGTTCAAGCGGATGTAGGGTGTTGATTTAAGGGACACCACCCCGAGCTTTTGGCTAAATAGCCTCCCCGCAACGCAGCGGAGCGAATTCAGGGAATCGCGCCCATTGGGAGCTGGTGACTGATTGCTCAGTTCATATGCCTTTCGTTTGTTGCCTTGTCAAATAAGGACCCAATGCTCCCCAACATTACAGTATAAACTTGCTGGAATACAATGCTTAGAGGATGACATAATAATCAAAAAAGCTATAATTGAGCTACATCAGACACCCATGAATGAAATGTTTGACAGGATCAGGAGTTTCGGATATACTCTACGAACAGACAAAAGTGCGCTCTTCACGTCCCGAATTTCTCAACGTGGTTCAGTCATCGATGACAGTGGTGGTCTTCCTGATCCTTCAAAAACTCTGGCAATCCAACAACGACAAGTACCAACGGACAGGAAAACACTGCAATCTTTTTTGGGACTATTGAACTATCACAAGAAATTTGTCCCTAATGTGCACTCGCTACGGATGTCACTAAATGAACTCATGAAAAATAATACGAAATGGGTATAATCCCAAGCTTATCAGTCGGCATTTGACGACATAAAATACATTTTATCTTCGGACTCGAGAACACTGTGACCCGAAACTTCACCTCATAATTACTGCCGAGACTTCAGAGCGATACTGCCGGCAGCATGCGACGTCATTTCGTGTCGATGTATTGTAGCGACCAACGCACTGACGGTGAATGAATCACCGGTTACCAAATGAGTTAGAGTACGTTACCTAGAACAAATGAATTTAGTTTGGTGAAGATTGACGAACATGTAGGATAAATCACATTTAAGGTCAGATCAGTAAAACGGCGAGTCCCCTTCAATCACTTCATCAAGACAGAGAGAAGACAATGATCGTGATGTCAAAATTTCGACTGTTCTCTTCAGTTGGAAGCACAATATGAGGATAAACATACAAACGATAATATATTTGGAAAAATAAACAACACTAATTGAAATGTTACCATCAAGACCAAGGCAACCGAATTGGTTGCCTCATTAGTTTCTGTGCATATAGCACAAGTTGGTGAGCTTTAATTCGCAACGCCCCCCTAATTGTCAACAGTATCAGGTTTTTGTTGTTCAAAAACATCATGAATGCGGTCTCCGGGTTGACATGATGAGAGTTCCCAAGATGTGCTTAATCACAGATAAGGCAGGGCTTCAATTTATCCTCAAATCCGCTCCGCCTTTTTGCATCCACCTGTTTCAACCCCTCTGGCAAATGTTTAGCTACCCACTGAGCTAACTGACCGTCAGTTCTGCCCATGTAAATGTCAGATCATTCATCGGCTAAACTTTTAAGTAGATAACTCTTCGAGAATCTAGACTTACGCTGTATGAATCCAGCTCTCGACCTATTCTTGAATGCCTCGCGTTGATACTTGCCTACACTCAAAATGTGATCAATAACAATAGAGAGTGCAACGCCCATTTACTGAGCACTTACTGGCAATAACTACACTGCGCCATGGTGGTAGATGAAAACTGCTACAGGTAGATCCACTGAGATTTCGCAGGCTCAAGCATAATATTGTTTTTCAAATCCAGACGCTAAACACCTGAATGTGAATAAATAGTTCCTTGCTTAGCGGAACGAAATGAGTGTAAAGCTTCACGAAACAGACCGCATTCGACTATCTTAACGACAGCTCGTTTCAACACACGCAATAATCTCCTCTTAAAAAGTAATGCGCTTTTATGGAGCAGGCTACTAACAGTAATCAGATGGATCTCAACGGTTGCAACATTATGCAGGGTTTACGTAGATTTATCAATACATCCATCTCGACATTTCTCAGCCTAGTCTCGCCTGAAAATGTGCAGTGAGAAAGCGATCCAGATTGATTATAACTTTACCGTGACAATACATTTAGATATGTAGATCGTTTATGTCTTTTGCTATTTAGCTCCTATAGGAGCACATTAACCAAAAACAGCAATAACACCGAATTTGTTGGACCTGCTGCGTAGTGATTAATAGCTTGACTGAGATGCGTGCCCCTTTGATAGAATTGTGGTGGTTGAAATAGTTTTATGCATAAGCTACCCACCAGTATACACAAAGTTAAACGATATTGAACGCACCATTAGCCCCTTTCTTGCTATGCTAAACTTGCATGTTGATGAGCTGTTACTCTGCATCCCGATATAGTAGACATATATCGGACCCAGCCTTTTGATTCGCTTCTCCATTTTGCTGCCTCTTTCGTGCAATGACTTCAACGTAGTTTGGTTACCACAAGCTCCACGACAATTGTAAGTCCTTCCTCGAACTATTCTGAGCACTTTTCTCTTGGTAGTACATACGTCACTTAGTGACTGAGCCTACTGTTGGCTGTGCCACTCTGAACTTGTCGCATAATTTGTGTGCTCCTCTCTTTCACGGATTTGTTCCTTCCCATTCTCATCAAACACGGTCTTTCTACACTCATTCGTATCGGATTAACTTTCCACATTCAGTGGGCACTATTTTACGGAATTGTTCAATACTAATCCTGATTACTGTAGCTCAAGCTCTTTTAATACATATCGTGTTCAGATTCATGTGTATAACTTTGTCCTGCTTCCAACAACTATTCCAGCTGCAAACTCGCGTTCGACAAATTATTCTACGCGCAATCTGATAATCTTAGTTACTCCTACAAGACCATTTCTAAGGAACTAGGACTCAATTTGCAGCTTTCACCTATTGGTGACAATCAGTCACTGACATACTTAATTTACCCTAGCCAGGTTAATAGGCCTAGTTTCACAGGAAAAGCGTTGATCGATAAAGCGGCCGAACCGCAGGTGTGTTTGCGAGTTCCTTTACATGCCTGCATAGGATAATCGAGAACAATCGCGCGACTGTGATAACGAACTTGAGGATCAGTAATCCGCGACCACACTTTAGTAGACAAGGCTAACTTGTGACCGATATAAGACACTGTCTCAGTGCTGGCCCGTGAAGTTGCAGGGACCCTCACAATCTGCACCTATAAGTAAGTAAAGCCAGCATTCTATGCATGATGCAATACTAAGTTTGATCTCTTTGTGTATGAGCTGAAGTCCTTAATCTAGGGATAACGTGCACCATTATCATTAGTTCGTTCCTTCCTATATTTGTAGTGAAATCCGTACAATAAGTGAGGAAGCAGGACAAAGTAGTCAACGCCTTTTGATTTTGTCCAACATGTCGAGGCATTCCAGTTTTCATATTCTTAAGTGTGCCCGTAAGGAAGTGCGGCAGGTTGACTGAGACAATCGCGCATTTGTTGAGTACCAAGATCGCACCCTCGAAAGTATGGTCACTCTCGTGCTTCAATCAATCAATTCAGTCTCTAACTCTAGACACAGAAAGGGAGCCCGGCACTACAACTTCACTGTAGCGTCTGTCTCCGAATCCTCTGGCTTGACACATTCCCGTACCCGGAAGTGCAGAGTGAGTGCCTGCCTCCACGTTTAGCGGTGTAGTCTACATTAAGTAAGCGAAGATAATGGCAGTTCTGAGCTAGAGTCAGCCCACTAGTGCGAAAAATCGGGCAACGTACATATCGGTTGCGTCCATACAAACGTAGCAGGGAACATCCCTGACTACGATGGCAGCACCGAGCAAACTTAAGTTAACACAGCTTTCACAGCCCACTGAACCGTCTCAATTGATAACGTCAAGACAAGAGTCGAAAGGAGAAATCACGTATCTTTAACCATTGTTTGCAAACATATTTCAGAATCGCAGTCCAGTACTATAAAGGATAAGCTGACGGACTACCAAAACCAGTGGAAGTCTATTTGTGGTGTGATTGGCATTTCGGTTGAGCCTACTACGCTGAGACGGATCACACAGCACGCGAATTAAGTACATTACACCGAAGCCAGACTACTCCGGGTGACACTAGATTTTCCTGAAGGCACACAGACCGTTTTACCGTCATCGATTCGGCTCAGTAAGTTATCACATTGTATGCGCACACGTCCGGACATCCATTGGAAAGTACGTCCTAAAGACAGTAGCGACCGTAAGGAATTTTGCGAATAAAGAACAACGGAGGTTTATTGCTTACTGCGTTCCTGGACTGCAAATGTTCTTCTCTAGGGATGCGGATGCACACGACCGGGAGCAGTGGGGTCACATCCTCCAGTAAACTCTCCCTCAACAATATCATGGCTAAGCGGTTGGTAAGAATTCCAGCTGTACTTCCCTACAAGGGGAACAGTCTCATAGTGATGAATTTGAAAATTCAGTTCGAGTCAATGACATCTCTCAACTTAGTAACTGGTCTAAGCTCTAAAAGACGCTGCCTGCAAAAAATACGCATACGCTGGAACACGATAAGCGAACGTGACCTTAATTATCATTTGAGTTTGATACTATTCTTCACAGAGTGCTGGTTGACATGTGAGCCACCATGATGTTGTGTTTTCTGAACAATGTATCCCTCATTTTTTCTGCGGTAAAACGAACGGTTTCCTTAGCCTTGGCATAGGCTCGGTGTTTGTGTGAATGTGATATAAACATCTACGGATGAAGCTGCATGGATCCACTAATATTCTTGGAATCACGGCTTTTTCCTTATTCCTTTTGGCCCGAGCATATGTATCCAATGTCACCGGTTCTTCCATTTTAGGAATTGGCGATGTTCTCATCGGATTTGGGAGAATTTTTCAATGCTGCGTCATGCAAGGGTACTCAGTTTTTTCGTTCCGTTAACACATCTGTTGCACACAACATTGATATACTCCGCATGACCACTTCCCCCGCCGTCGTTAGTCCCTTAGTCACCGTGGAACAGGATCGACTTCCTCATCTGATTGAACTTGGGCTCTCCTCGTCTCCCGATGCTGCATCCACCGATTCATCCGGTCAGGAGCATATGTACCATCGATGGGATTATCACTACACTCGTACCGATGGTCACTTTGCTCCCACTTCCAGCCCCACTCCAACCGGGCTGACTACGGTTTGGTCCAGGCCCCGAGCTCTGGTTCACCCACCAACCGACTCCTTGTCCTTGTCAACATCTGCTGAACATGCGCCGGCATATTCATCCACAGTTTCGCAACACTCATGGACAAATGCAGCTGCATCTCGTGGCATACTTCGGTGCCCATTTTGCAATAAATCTTTCAGCAACTCAAGCGCCATCGGCAAGCACAAACTGACGCACAGTGAGGAACGCAAATACGTCTGTTCCATTTGTCACAAGGCGTTTAAACGCCAAGACCACTTAAATGGTCACAAGTATACTCATGAGGATAAGAAACCGCATGGGTGTTGCTTTTGCGACAAATCGTACAGCGACGCTCGCTCTCTACGTCTCCACTATGAGAACGCACACCCGCTGGAATACGAGCGGTGGTTGGCTCTATCACAGGCCACACATTGTGATACCACGGCCATCGCAGCGGCCGCAGCGGCTCTGCTGTCTTCCACTACTACCACCACCACTATCACTGGTCTGGATCTGGATGCTGCTGTCGCTGGAAACTCCGGTCCGATGACTTTTACCAATCCATCCGCCGCCGCCTCGCTGTTGAATGCGTTGAGCAATCCAATGTGCAAAGTATTTGCTTCTCTTGGTAGACCGGATGGCTCACCGGCTTCGAGTGCCACGAACGAAGGACAACGTAGCAACGGACACTCCAAATCACGTCATCCTCATGACAAAAGACACAGGCAAAAACGCAGAACTCCTCATGGTATGGAGTGGTCCTCAGCCGGATCATCGCATTCATCAAACTCGTGTGGCGGCTCCGCCTCCAACGCAAGCTCTCCTTCTGGGACCATCATGGACATTGGGGACCACGATGAGAAGCTGGAAGACCGGCTAGACAAATCAAATCCTTTGGCCGCACTATCGTCCATCTCAGCGGAGGACATTTCCACAGCAGCTAAAGTTGCTCTGCTCATGGCTCATCCGCTGGAGGCACCGAAGCGCGTCGCATGCGCTACCTGCCAGAAACGTTTTAAAAATCAATCCGCGCTAAATGGACACATGCGATTAAACGCGGGTTACGGTCCGGCTGGATTGACTGCGCCGGCTTCGTCCACTACCTGTGTGAATACTAAAACGGGTGCACCCAAGTCGTATTCCGCTGTAGAAGAGAGCCACTGTGGTGCGGAAGAGACCATTCACGACACGCATTTGACGGTATCACTTAGCCAACCGCCATCTGGTTCCACAAAATCACAAAATCCTGGCGAGAATGGCTCAGTGCTTTCAGATAACCTTCCGACAGAGTTCTCCGGTTTCAATCCCATCGCACACGGTGTCTCTAACTTGACCAGTCGGAATTCACTACGCGTTTCTGAAGTCCACGCACATATTCGAGCTGATGACACTACTCCTGCACCTGCTCAGCCCCTTGCGATTGCCACTCGCGCAGATGATTCATGGCTTGCGTCTCGCTATTCTTCGCTTTCACAATCCGTGCAGCAGCGCGCTTCCAATCGCATCCCACCGGAGTTTTCACATTCGAATTTGTTCGCTGATCCACGACCCTCTCGACCACAACAAACTCCACCGCCATGCTACCTTCCGACACAGCCGGGAAGGTCTTCCACGATCTCGGCGAGCACATGGTTCACCGGCAATCATTTGTTAGGGCGTGATAAATCTGTACCACGTTCCTCCTCGGGCGCAGATCTTCGTTCGGGACCTTCGACTACATCTGCTTCTTCCACGTATCCAAATCAACATGGATTAGTGAACGCGAAGATGGCTCTAAGAGACTGCCCTGATAGCCATATTGCTCACCTATGCGACGCAACGCACCTAGAACCAGCTGGAGTGGCCACTATGTGTAGGACCGAAGGATTTAGATACTTCCGTGCACACCCATCCGGCGGCCAAAGGAGTAACTACCGGCGATATTTGGTCCAAAGGGCAATCACCAAGATTTTATGACCCTGATCCCACCGCCCACCGCCTCGGATGTGGTGCGGAACCTCACATTGCCGGTCAACGCGGTTCGATTTCCGCCTTCACATCCGCTTTGGTCAGCAAACCGGAGGTCACTTACGACCCTCCTAGCAACGCGCATCGGTCCAGTTTCGTTCGGCCTGAATGGTCTAGTGCGCCGCGCAATGGTGAAGCAACTCGGTTGTCATTCAGCTTTCCAGCTGCGCCTCATTTTTGCCCACAAACAGGTCTGAGTGATCAATACTCTCCAGTTACCCCTGCACCTGGGAACTCCAACAACATGGGGGTGGATTGTTCTGCGGATTCTTCCGACACGGCCTTCCACTTCCCACCCGATGAGCAACACGTTCGCTCTAGCACCGAATTAGGACACTACCTTAGCTCAACTCATCTTTCTGACCCCGTTGCATCCGAGCAGACCATTTCCGGTCTGGCATACACCGGATCGACCGTGCCTGCCATACGATCCAAGTGGAGTAAACAGCCTGCCAAGATGCATCATCATCATCGTTTCGCCGCCATCCGCCAAAGTAATTCGACGGTTAAAGGCAGTGCGTACGTGGCTACGAATGACTGACGACTCACTGGGGTGGGCCGCATTGGGAACCTTCCCTTCATACAGCTCTGTGATGGGATTGATCTAATACCAACCTCAGCATCTGACTGAATACACTTAGCTACGAGCAGCCATCAGGACCCAGACAGCAGCTTGTAGTCGTGTAATCCAACGGAACCCCAAAGAACAACTACCCCAAAAAAGCAACGGGTGCGACCTCCCACTAGTCCGTAAAACCTCTAGTTTTGGTTCAACTTTCACTCACTTTTGGTTGCAGAGAGACCATCCCGCATTTACACTAAAGCACAAGACCACGTTAGTACTTTGGTCCAACTCCGTCCTCGTCAGGCTTCAGGGCCTCGAGATATGATAATGAACACCGAAATGTGCCTGAGCTTCATAATTACCGACGTCGATATCAGTCTACCTGGTATGTCCGTTTTCAGAGACCACGGGGCGGGTAAGGGATGGAGTAATCATTTATTACAAAAACACCTTCTTTGTGAAATTATAGATGATCCGCAAATGTGTCACCCATAGCCTTTGGTGCAAGGTATGGTTGAAGGATGCCGGTATATGCCTTGTGTCCGTAGTTTACCGACCACGCAAATCCACTCCGGAAATGGACCACAGGCTAATATCTGCCTTGTGTTTAATGACATGTCGATAATACAACCATATCCTCATTGCAACAAATTACAACACCCATGATCTGGAAACTCTCAAAACCGAGCGTAAACAGTTTAAAGTGCACATACAACAAGCAAACTCTAGCACCCCCATGTACATACACGTCATCACTCCCACCAGGTTCAGAACAGCAAATAAGCTATCGAATTTAGACCTAGTGCTCACCAGAGAGGAGCTCATAGTTGATGGGCTAAATGTTTGCAGTCTTTCGGATAGAAGCGATCACGTGACCCAAATGTTCAGTTACATTACCTACGCCGACGTAGAGCCCAGAATGATGCACGCTAGTACGCATTGTCACGTATTGTACACATTAATTGAAAACACTAGGTTGACATTCATGTCAGAGTGCTTTTCAGAGACAGCCCGAGAAACATTCGTAAAAGCCTTCACCACACTTGTCGCGGAAGCGTCAGAGCAGCAAGGGCTCCACCGTCCTCTCAGACCAAGTTAATTTCTGCAAAGTAGAGCACAAAAAGCTATGGTCTTAAGGGACCGTACATGGCGCGTTTACAAAAGATCGCGCAGCTCAGAAAATTGGACAGTGTACATATCATAATGCAACTTTGTGTGTAGTTTGTACGTGAAGAGGGGATAACGCACCAACAGGAGCTGTCAAAGCGTATCTGTTAGAATCACAAGAATTGCTTACAGACACCAATAACTTTGGTAAGATACAGCGGGGAAAAGCCATCTGTTCGCTACTGTTGGTGGATATACAGAAACAGCGCGAGACAGACGGCCAATGCCTTACAAACACAATAAGCACCTATCCCAAAATGATTACAAGATTCGAATGCTATACCTATTTTATCACTTTACCCTCAGTGTTTATCGCGTCACTTTTACTGCAGAAACGATCCTGAAAAAGCTGAAATATTTGCGCATGCATAACTCTCTTGGAGTGGATAAAATTCAAGCGAAAGCACTGCAGATAGTAAACGCAATTAACCGTACCACTTGCCGGATTCTAACGGTGCTGTCTGGATTAGCAGATGGTTCTGGCAAAGTTGTTACGGGTTATTAGCATACCTATTCAAAAGGTAGGAAGATTTTGGCCTGTCAATTATTACCCGGTAGCGTTTCTCTTTGTGCTCGCCAAGGTTATGAAAGCGATCATCGCGTTGATGGATTACGTGCAAAGCTACGGTATCATTGGTTCTGAGCAACACGGATTTCCTCAACATCGGTCCTGTACCTCGAATGTGCTGATGATACGAGACAATTGGATCTAAGCAGTCGAAGAGGGAACAGGAACCGAGGTTATCTACTTGGACCTTTCGGAAGCGTTCAGTCAATCGAAACCTCGTATCCTGTTTCAAAAACTTCAGCAGTATGGAGATCGAGCACTGGGATGGTCGGTAACATCCTAGAAAACCGCCAATTGCAGGTTAGATTCCTAACATCTTTGTTCGACCCAACTAGGTTGCAGCCTGGTTTACAGCAGGGTTTGGTACCTAGACCTTGCCTGCTCTTAGTGGTCGTTAATGATCTAACGAGATTTCTTACCTCAAAATATTTACCTTCCACTTAGGACGTTACGATTTATCGGTTGACCACTGGATTAGACGAAGACGACGAGATCCGCCAGTGCAACTTCAAGAAGTTCTGAGCTGGTCGGTGTGGAAGGCGATGCACATCCATATGGGCAAGTCTCGGGGTGTACACATCAGCCATCGACAAGCCTACGTAGCAAGGCTTAGGGTGGACGATCATCAGATCACCTCACAAAACTTGACCATTTTGTGCTCAATTTAAACGACCTCTGTTGTTATAGAAAATCTGAACCTACTTCGAAAAGAAATAACTAGCATGTCAGCCACTTATGGTGGGTGTTCGGGATTTAGGATTCATTCATCTTCCCTCTGACGCTCAATGCCCACGTGGGTCCGCAAGTCGAATACTTTATCCAGGCTAGGCAACCTTGGCTAGAGCGTTATCTAGCAGCGCACAAGAACGCGCAACGTCGGGCAACGAAAAGGCAAGTGGTTTGTAAAACCTTCCATACAAGAAACGGCTGAAGAAACTTAGTGTTCAGTGGTTGTTACTGGCGGCTACGTGCATACCTTGTAATGGTACGTAAATTACTTATCGAGCCGAACCACGTACACTGCCACCTTTTGAAACTCAGCTCCAATATAAAAAAGGAGTCCGTGACTTAAGACTGAGTCGGAATACAGTCGTTTAGATTGCCATGAAAATAGATCTCTCTGCAGCTTTAAGCAGTAGCACTAGAATCCTCCACCGACGTAGAAAACGTTTTGCTCTCCGTAAGCGCTAAAACACGGATCCTGTGGGATACGCCTCTATCCCGATGTCACTTTGAGAGCGAGACAATCAGAAAGAAACTCCGAAAAGGGACATAACAAGTAAGACCTCCTAAACACAATCCTTACACATGGTGTGCCAGAACATACTTCTGACGATGTTCAAGTGATCGGAAAGCACCAGGTAGAACAGTGGCGGTTCCTTCATGAAATACTTTCTTTGGATAATATTGTGGTGCTGTCGCTCATCAGGATACTTCTCTCACCAAATTATAGAGGGTGCGGCCCTAGAATCCTAAAACTTGTGGTTCATTCAGAGCAACAAGAAACGGCTATTTTGGTTCAAAGGCGGAGAACTCGGAAAAGTCTTCCTTCTGAACTTTGGTTAAAGGTCGCAGTAGCTTTGCACAGCTCAAATATTAAAGCACCTGTAGCAGCAGACATACCGACGAATGTACGGAAGCGTAACTTGATTGCTGCTTTAATTGACTCTGACGTAGGTCTAAACGAAGATTGGGACGCACTTGGCCTAATCAAGTTGCAAACGAGGTATCATATTCCAAACAAAAATACAAGTAACTGCTGACTGCCTATCGGTCGGCATTCTCCCACACTTGACCTCTTCACCCCCCTGTGGGCTCCTAGAGACCGAGGAACTGACCTGCTTGTATACGAATGCTCTGGGTCTTTTTAATAAAATGGCCGAACTGAAAGATTGCCAAGCTTCAGGGTCATATCATGTAATTGGTATCACTGAGACGTGATTGCACAGGGGAATGACGGACGCTGAAGTTTCGCTACCGGTCATGTCTCTGATCCGGAACGACAGGCTCACAAAAGGTGCAAGGCTAATCCTGTATTACCAAAGCGATTTACAGTACGAACCCTTGGGAGATATAGACTATCAGTTCCCAGACTCTCTTTGGTGCCGGTTGCAGTTAAAAGGCAAGGACGCTTGCTTTAGTGTACTGTCCCCCCTAACTCTACACCAGAAACCGACTGCCAACTAGCGGCTGCTTTAGGATGCAGTTTACAATCAAAGCATAATCACATACTTATCATGGGTGATTCCAACCTACATGGCTCAGAAAATCCTGCCACGATCGGGGAACAATTCAAAGCCGATCTACAAGATCTCAACCACTGCTCCTCTTTACAATCATATCACTTTGCCCACTCGTTTCAGAACAGGTAACAGGCCATCTGTGCTGGATCTTGTGCTTACCAACGGGGAGCATTGGATTGATGTGTTCATTATAGACTGCCCGTTGGGTCACAGTAATCAAGCAGTCATCAGTTTAAACTTCATCTGCTATCAGCAATATCGGAATGAGAAAGATGAGACTATGCGAACTATCAGATGCTAGGATCGATTTGCCTAGCTCGTCAGCTCTCCAACTTGGTCTTTCCTTGCCGAAGGACCCCCAGAAGGTGCCTGGCTTGAGTTCGTCAGGCAATTCAGTAGGCTGATTGCAGAGGCTTCAGAGATAAAAGTTTGAAATAAGTGTACATTAGTTTCTTTCATTAGAACAGAACTGGAAATCCATGACAGTAAGCAACGCAGCATGGAGAGTGAGCAGAGAAGATCCAGCAACGGAAACTTGGAACAATTACGTAGCCCAATGTAACCACTGCACTCAAGTGCTAAAAGAAGACGAAGCTACATATCAGCAGAACATAACACAAACCCTCAGTACTAACCACATGCTACTGTAAAAACATGTTAATAGCTTACAAAATGTGAGGCAAGGATTTCCTTAACTCAGGTCGGCTGGTGGCCCAGCAAGAACTGATGTGGAAGCAACAAAAGCGCTGCAGATGTAAGATATCCCACGTTTCAGAAGGTCTTGCTACCAAGCGATCTTTCAACCTTTGTCGTCTCCTTACCAGAACTAACCCACATCACTTTAACCGCGGCTGTATTGCAAAGTTGACGTCTCTTCGCAAGCACAGCTAGTCGGATGTCGACACCACTCATCCAGAGGCACTGGAAGCAGCAGCAAGCCAACTGGCAGGACCTTTAGCTCAATCTTTCTAGCGCCGCTTAGATCAGAATCAAGTTCCTGCTGTGTCGAAGCTTGGAATAATAACCACGGTTCACAAAGGTGGAAGCAGAACTGATCCCTCCAACTACCTACCAGTATCCCTTCTTCCTACACTCTCCAAGGCCATGGAATCCATAGCTGCCGATGCACTGGTGTGCTATCTGGAAAACTCATCACGCCAGAGCAGCACGGTTTCCGTCGACAGCGGTCATGTACAACGAATTTACTAATCACACGCAGTAGTTGGACTGAGGCAGCCGACGCTGGAGAAAGTGTTGATGTGATCTACCTGAATTTGCGAAAGCTTCTGGTCGTCCAGACCATCGGATACGACGCTCCAGTCTCCAGCATTACGAGATCGGCGACCCTCTTTTAAGCTGTATTGATAACTTTCTATTTCAACAGCAATTAGTGGTCAGAGTTCGGTGTTCTTTATCGGACCCCATACAAGTTGAGTGTGATGGGCCGCTAGGATCAGTCCTAGGTTCACGTTTGATTTTGGTGTTTACTAACGACGTTGCATAGGAAATCGCTTCAATCTTCCTAATGTTTGCCGACGACATGAATATTTAGCGCAGGATCCAGGCGAACACCGACTAGCCTCTGCTTCTGAGTGACCTAGGTACGGTATATTAATGGTCAACCGAAAACCTACTGCATTTCAATGTCTGTAAATGCAAGGTGCTATACA